CCAACCCCCCCCCCCCCCGACCCCCAATGCCCAAACAATCCTAGAGCTCTAGTCTAGATCCGAACAAGGCTCGAAACCACGACATACCTCATCTCAGGCAGACGTAGCTCTTTCAACCAGCAGCGTCAACATCACAAGTTTGCATCCCGTCTCCCCCGAAACCTTTACCAGAGTTGAGGTTTGCAGCTTAACCTAACCCTTGCAGCTTGCCTGCTCTCTGCGCGAAGGCCCTTGATGAATAAACTTTAAACCCAAAGACATCAGCCACAAAATCAGTAAACCGTATAGGTGTGACCGGTCTGCGACAACGACGGCAACAATCATGATAGCAAACATGAAGCACAAAAGCAACGGCACTAAACGCAGAGCACCAATAGCGACACGAAGGATCTGCAAAGTGACAAACGCAGGACGAGAAAATGCAAGGAATACTCACGCCGAGTTCATGGCAGAATGTCATCCTGTACCCAAAACCGCACAAGTACACGTAGTGCCGCAGTTCTCGGCCTCCTAAGTAAGCCCCACAAATTCTAAGGCTCACCTCCCCACCACCACCCCAGCCCTGTATTTTGATAATCAACAGCCATGATAGCAAGGCCAACCTCCTCCTCACCGACGGTCGGCGGACTTGGGGCGGCCGAACCCTCTGCCTCTGCCGCCTCCTTGCACAAGGTTTAGGGTTTAGGGTTTAGGGGGGCTGGGGCTGGAATTGAACTTACGGGATTGAGGGGTGGTTGCAGGCTCCAGCGGTTTAGGGTCCGTGGTCTGGGTGCGGGACTTCAGAAGACCTTCTAGGGCGTTTGTAGGGCTTGGGCATAGCATTCTACTCACTTGTGTAACTCTTGCTGATTGGGTGGGTCTTATGCTTGAGATCTCATCGTGCAGACTTCTCGTAGCACTCAGCTTGGCTTTGTTCACAAATTCTAGGTCCTGGCCAAAGGTGTTCCTGCTCCTTTCCGTTCTTCATTCTACAGGGCGTGTCTCAAGAGTCGGGCCCCATAGTGCGGCACAGGGCTTTGAAGAAGTGTAGGGGGCTCCTGTCATTGCCCTCACACATTGAAAGAAGTCGCAGTGATTGAAACAATCCCGGCTATGGGGCTGCTGGGGATGACAGTCCCGACTTGGGCAAAAGGCGCAGTCTCCAGTCTGCATTCACAGCCCGGGTCTCGTACCATGGCCACAAAAAAAAAAACTCCAAACCCTAGGCTCTAAATTCTCAACCCCTAGCCTGCAAAACAACAACAGCCCTTAAGAAGAGACCCTTCAACTTCCACTCCAACCCTAAACCCTAAACC